TGTGCCGAGGGCCCTGAGTGTGATGTCTTGCTTACTTGTCCCAGCCCTGCATGGGGAGACCCAGGCTCAGCCAGGTTGTAACTGCCTCCTGGTCACACACCGTGGGGAGCGGAATTCAGTCCCGCGTGGCTCACAGCTCAGTGCAGGAGCTCCCGGGGCTGCTGTAATGAGTGGCCACGAACTCAGCAGCTTCCCACACACAGATTTGCTCTCTTGCAGTCTCTGGGGTCAGAGGTCCTGCAAAGGTCTCACTGGGCTAAAGTCCAGGTGTGGGCAGGCTGATCCCTTCTGGAGGCTCCAGGGAGCACCTGTGCTCTGGCTTTTCCAGCTTCGAGAGTCACCGGCACGCCTCGCTCATGGCCCCTTCCTCCAGTCGGAGATGCAGCGGGCACTCGGGTGTCCCTCCTGTCGCTTCTGAGATCGACACTTCCCCAGTAAGGGCCCCTGAACACCTTCGTCCGGGCCGGAGAAGCTGGGAATTCTTCCCATCTGGGGGACAGGGGCTTGGCAAACTGAATCCTCTTTTGCCACAAAGGTGACATAGTCACAGTTTCCGGGGTCTAGAGGTGGAGGCTTTGGGCCACCATCCTGCCCTCACTCCGTTGCCCTGTTGCTCTGCCCACACCATCTTGGCTGACCCCTGGCCACGCACATGCGTCAGGCCTTGCCGAGGACACAGGCTCCTCACTGCTTTGTCCCCTCCACTCACCTTGCGCATGGCACCAGGCCCAGGGCGGCACAGGGAGGATCAGAGGGCCGGGTACAGGCTGCCCATTGTGAGTCCATGGGTGGGTCCCACAGGGCCTGGCAGGCCTGCGGCTGGCATCCTCCTGCCCGGGTAAACAGGCCTTTGTTTGGGCATCTGGGCCCCGCCCTGCCCTACGCGGGCCAAGACCCAGCTCTGAGTCTGGCTCCTCTGCCTGCAGGCAGGGTGAGCCACTGTCATTGAGTCACCCTGACGGTCAGCGCCGGGAGCCATCACCCGCATCTGAGAGCAGGCTGCTTGGATCCGGAGGCCCGGAGAGGCGTGAGCAGAGCTGCGGGCTGGAGACCGCGCCTCCGGAGCGTCCACGGTGAAGCGCCGATTGCTACGGAAGAGAATACGAGATGGGAACTAATTTTCTAAATGAAACATGAGGGCTCCATCCGGTGAGGCTCAGTGGTTACATTGTTGGCCCGAGGGTAGCAGGTTCCCTTCCTGGTCAAAGGCATGTACCTGGGTTGCAGGTTTGACCCCCGGTCCCGGTTAGGATGCATTCGGGAGGCAACCAATCATTGTGTCTCTCTCACATTGCTCTCTCTCTCCCCCCACCTTTCCACTCTCTCTAAAAATCAATGGGAAAAATATCCTCAGGTAAGGAGGAACAAAAATAAATAAATAAATAAAATGTGAAAAAGATGAGATTCCAAAGACACGGTGGTTATGCGGTGGGTACTGGGGACCTCTCCCCATCCCTGGGGGCAGAGCTCGTGACTTCTGTGGTGAAGGATGTGCTCGAGGAAAGGGTGACCCCCACCCCAGCGGGACTCTAGGCCCGGTGACCAGCAGGTGTAGGGGTATGGTGGCTGTTATTGTCGCTGTCACCAAGGAAAGAGAAGGAGGGGAGGGAGACATGGTGGCGGGCACCATGGGGGAGTGACAGGGATGGAGGATGCTGTCACCTCCCGGCTGGGATCTGGAAGGAAGCGGGTATCTCCAGGCCCAGGAATTGGCCAGGTGCCCAGAGGAAGTGAATTAGGGTCTCCAGCCTGGGCCAGCCCCATCCCCAATGGGCTCTGCACCAGAAACTTCCATTTTGTTCCAACAACACCTGCCCAGGGAATCAGTTTCCAGTCTGCTCACTTCTAAGGGCCAGTGGCCCTCTCTGATGAGTCCGGTGTCCCTGAGACCCAGAAAGAGGGGATCAAAGGAGCTGGGCCCTGAAACCTGCTGGGGAAACAGCCTGTCCTGCTCTGAAGACCCTCCGGATATGCTGGGCACCCTCCTGGGTTCTGGTCCAGAGCCCAGGGGTGAAGGGCGCTGAGGAACAGGCTTGGTGGCCCTGCACAGGGGGCTTGCTGTCTTCGGAAGGTCGTGACCAGCTGACAGCAGGGGCCAGAGCCCTGAGGTCTGAGCAGAGGCTTTAGGACAGGAATCAGGACTAGGAGGTGAGGGGTGGACTCTAGTAAACGCAGAGCCGGCGGGCAGGGGGCACAAGAGGAAGCCAGGGAGGGAAGCCGAGAGGGGCTGGCAGAGACAGGCCAGCTGTAGCCCAGACAAAGGAGCAGCTCCGTGCTTCCCCACCCCCACCAGGTCCCCAGGGGCAGGCCCCGTCCCTGTCCCCGTCCTGTCCCCAAGCTAAGCCGGAGGAAGCTGCGGTGGACCAGCCTGCACAGGTGCTGCTGGGACTCCCCGGATGTGCGCCAGGCTGGCACCCCACAGACCGACAGCTGAGCCGGGCAGGAAACAGATGGCTCACCCATGGGTGGGGGTTGATGAGACTTACTAATGAAAAGAGCATTTCAGGGGTGAAGGAAGCCAGCAGAGCTGCTGAGGCGTCAAGGGGCTTGTGAGAACAGGAACCATGACCTCCGGCTGAGCGGGCAGGGGGAACGTTGTTAGCAGAGTGAGGGCCCGATCCAGGACGGCTGCCTGGCGGGACCCTGCACCTGGAAAAACAGGCCCTTGCTGAATGCGGCAGGGCAAGGCTGGCGAAGGGGAACAGTGCCTCTTGCCTGCTGTCCTTCGTGTAAGGTCTCGCCTCTACCCCTGATTAGCTTAGCCCCGCGGGAGTCAGAAGGTGAGGGAGCCAGGTGGGCAGTCACCCACCTGGTGGGCAGCTTTCTGGAGCACAGTGTAGGCAGCTCAGAGAGGGATGGAGAAATTATGAGGAACAAACAGAACCATCCAGTCACTACCCTCCACACAGCAGTGGCTAGGTGGTGATAACGATGGTGGTGATGGTGGTGGTGATGGCCGTGGTGGTCACGGTGTGGTGTGGTGGTGGTCATAGTGCTGGTGATGGCTGTGGTGATGGTGGTCATGGCAGAGGTGATGGTGGTGGTGAAGGTGGTGGTGATGGTGGTCATGGCAGAGGTGATGGTGGTCATGGCAGAGGTGATGGTGGTCATGGTGGTGGTCATGGTGGTCGTGGCGGTGATGGTGGTCATGGTGGAGGTGATGGTGGTGTGATGATGTTCCCCAGTGCTGAGGAGGTCAGCCCTTTTCTGGAACTATCTTGTGACATTTTGCTACCTGCTTTCAGATCAGCATCCTCAGCTCGTTTTCCCTTGTAAACACTGCACAAGTCACCCCGCATTCTCCCCACCCCTATCCAAGCTGGCTGCCTGTGGACCCAGAGGGCCACCTGACCACAGGAAATTCCTGCTGGCCTGGACAGTCCTGTCAGCCAGGAGCCCACTACCTAGCCACTCTTCCCGCTGACCAGCGAGACATTCTTGTCCCTCCCTAAACCACTAAGCACAGGTCACACTTCCTGTGGTCAGTGCCCATAGCTGACCCCTGCTCATTTGGGTTACTTATTTCCCAAGGCCTCAACAGGCTGCTCGCAGGAAGTAGCCTCTGGAATGGGGGTGTTGCCTCCCCCAGGGTCCCTCCTGCCCCCTCCTGTCCTGATGCCTGCCCACCCACCCAGGAGATGTTTACTTCCTCTTCTTGTCCACCACCCCTCTCAGGTCTTCCTCTCCACCCTCCTCCTGGTCAATGAGTACCTTCTCCACCAACTGCAGAAGACATGGGAATGTGAGTCCCAGGAAGGCATGTGCCAACTCTGGTCTGAGAGTCCGTGCCCACCCCCTCTGCAGGGTGCATTCTCCTCCCTTCCCTCTGAGGGGCTGGACACACATTCCAAGTCTTTCTGACCCCAGATTCTTTCTGCATGAGTTCACTCGGTCACTTTTCAAACCAGACTATGTACAAACATTCTCACATACATTCACACACATACTCACACCCCTGCAGTACTCACATACAAATCCGCACATACATGTGTATCGAATTCATATGTGTGCACACACACTTACACACTCATGTCACACACTCGTAGGCACATGCTGCACACACGCAGCGCCTTTCATGCCTCCCCGAGGTCTAGGTGCAGCCCTCACTGAAACAGAGTGGGAAGGGAGGACACACCTTATCTTTTCTCGCTGCATTACAGAAACTTGGCCACAGGTGTGACTTTCACACCCTGTCCCCATGTGGTGCTTGAAACTCACACTGTCCCCCACCTAAGGGCTAGCTCACACCTTCAGGAGTACTCAAAACATCCCCACATTCTGACTCTAAGGAATGGTTCTCGGGGGCATCGTGGAGGTAGTAGATAAATGTCTGCATGACTTGAGCATGGGTCTCCAAGTCAAAGATATTTTCCACAATGGTCAACTGTCTCTGTAACTCCTAATGTTTCCCTCCAAGTCAGTGCCTTGTCCTGGACTCCAGACTAGTAGACTTGCTTCTTCAACTTTCACATCTGGTAGACCTGATTCCTCAACTTGGACTTCTGGTAGATCTAATTCTTTTTTCTTTTTTTTTTTTCACTGTTAAAGGTTTATTTGGCATTTTAGTTGGTATGACACTTGGATAGTTGGCTACCTTATTTATAGATAGACTTTTATTTTTACAGTATATGGCAATGCACACTAATCTGATGCATATAGTACACAGAATAAAATCCTTTAGAACAGTTATGCACAAGACATGCAATAATGAATTTGTACATTGGATCCCAGGATGAGATTGATTGGAGAAAAAACAGTTGGACTAAGCATGTTGGGTAAAGGAACCAGAAGTTCTATAACTTGTGAACACACATCTAGTTTGAAGGGCAGCTGGCGGTGTGCCTTTGAGGAGGTGGAACTGTTTCACATGAACCAGCTAGGACCATCCAACATCAGGATACAGGTGCAGGGTTTTACGAACCATTGCTATTTCTATTGTTAGGAAACTGATGTTTTTAGTGGACAATATGCCCACTCTCCAACTAAAATCCTGTGGTAGCCTAGACAGTGAGGTGGTACAACATTAGAAGATTTTTAAACTGCGGCTCTTTCTGGATCCCCCAAAGTGGGTCTGCAGTCTTCTTCAAATGGGCCTCTTCCTCAGGTGTCAGGGTCACCTTCACAACATCCAAGAGTCCACTCCGTCCCAAGATACAAGGAATACTAAGGCAGATGTCTGCTTTTATTCCATAGAGATCCTTAATCATGATGGAAATTGGATGCCCCCGCCTGAGATTCTTCATCATACTTTCTGCTAAATCTGCCACAGACAGTCCAACGACCCAGGATGTGTAGCCTTTCAGTTTGGTCACCTCATAAGCACTGTCAACCACCTGTCTGTGAACTTGTTTCCACTGTTTTTTATCTGCATCAGTGCCTAAAGCAGGGTGCAGGGTCTTTAGGGAGATACCAGCAGCATTCACTCCCCTCCATACAGGCACACTAGATTCTCCGTGCTCCCCAATGACCCACCCATGAAAGCTTAATGGGTGAACTCCAAGCCTCTCCCCCATTAGGTAATGGAACCGGGCTGAATCCAGATTGCAACCCCTTCCAATAACATGGTTTTGGGGGAAGCCACTTATCTTCCAAGCCACATAGGTCAAGACATCCACTGGATTGGAAACAACAAGCAATTTAAAGTTGGGAATGTATTTTACAACATTAAGAATGACAAATTTAGAGATGCTCACATTATGCTGGACCAAATTAAGATGCCCTTCTCCCTCTTGTTGACGTGCCCCAGCTGTGATAATCATCAGCTTGGAGTTGGCAGTCACACTAGAGTCTTTGCCAGAGACAGTTTTTGGTGTTCTAAGGAAAAGGCTGCCATGTTGGAGATCCATCATCTCTCCCTTCAATTTGTCTTCTACAACATCAACAAGAGTAAGTTCATCTGCCAAGTCAAGTCCTTCATTAAGGTACTGATGGCACAAGCCATGCCAACAGCATCAACCGCATTGACTGCAATCTTATTCTGGGGGCTTTGTTTTTCCTTAAGAAGATTCACAATCAGCTGATCCTTGAGAGTTGCCATACTGTACTTAGAACCAAAAGGAATCAAGAATGCACAGCGGGAGGGCAATGGTGGCAAATGGCGTTGAATCCAGACTTGGCAGCAGCTACTCCAGTACTTGGAGCCTAGCACGGAGCAGGCCTTAAATGGAGCAGTAAGGCTGACATCAGTGGGAAGTGGGGCAGACATGCATTCCACGTAGACCTGATTCCTCAACTTGGACATCTGGCGGTCCTAATTCCTTAACTTGCACATCCGGTAGACTGAGTGGCAGCCCTCCCCACCTCCTGCTGCTGTAGTAGCCCTTGTTTTTCCAGCTGTTCAGACGAAATCCCAATTCTCATGTTAAGAAACCCCAATGGCTCTATTCTCAGAACACATCAAGTATCTGCCTATTTCACCACATTGATGGATCATGCAGAAGCCCCCACTGGTTTCCCTACCACCATTGCCATGGCCTGTCCATGCAGCAGCTGAGGAACCTAAAAACACAGGTGGGAGAAGTCTCCGCTCTGCTCACAGCTCCAGCTCCTCTCCCGCAAGGTGTAAGCACAAGTGCGACCACCCACTCCAGGCAGTTCCCATCCAGCCTGCCCTGCCTTTCTGTAGCTCTTCGTGCCTCCTAATCTACCAATTCACTTCCCCATTCTCGGTCTGCTGTTTTCCTGGCTTCCCACACTAGGGCACGAGCTCTGTACAGACAGGGGTCCACCTGCTTTCTGCACTGACATAGGTTGAGGAGGAGGCTGCGGTGCCAACCCAGGTCTGGCCCATAGGAAGTGCTTGTAAAGATTTGCTGAGTGAATGAGTGCATGGAATATATTTCTGTTCCCAGCCCCATCAGGCCCCTGGACCCACAAACAGGCCGATCTGCAGAGGAGGAGAAGCCCGACTTACAGGACTTGAGAAGGGTTTCCATTTGAAGTGCTGGCTAACAAACAGGGTCTGAACTCCAAAAATCTCTCTACAGCTTCCTGCTTGCCAGGTTTAACGAGCAGCTGATCTGACAAGGTTGGGGTTCCGGGGTGGGGGTGAACGGCTCGGGCCCCAGCCTGTCTCTGCAGCTGCTTTGTCTCCAAATACCTAAAATTCTGGACTTGTTCCCACCCAGCTGAGCCAGGGCCAGCTGATGGCGGCCCCCCTTTACGCTGCCTGCCAGAGGAGGGGGGCCCGCCTGCCACCGGCTTCAAGCGAGAGCCAAGGGTCCTGGCCCTGGAGCCCAAAGGTCGACCTGTGTGCGTGGTGGCCCCCGAGGGTGCCCCTCCCCGTGGAGAGGCGGCTCAGCCCGGTCACCTCCCTGCTGCATGCCTGCCTGCTCAGGCCACTCCGTGAGTCACAAGGCAGATTTTCCATTAGCGTCAAACTCATGTGGGTCTTGACCTGCAGCGAAGGGAGTGGAGCGGGAAGAAGCTGGTTTTAGATGACTCGCATACCTGGGGGGTCACACCGCGGCCAGACCCCCAAAGATTCCCTTGGTGGCGGTGGGGGTGGAAATGGCCCTTCCGGGCAGACCTTGCACTTGTGCACACTTCTCTGGCCTTCTGTCTGTCTGTCTGTCACCAACACAGCCCCTCCATGGAGGGAGCAATCCAGCCGGGACAGTACAAGACAAGAGGAAATGCCGACTGCGTACTGCCACAACCCACGCGTTTATTGAGCACCAACTGCGTTCCTGGCACTGTGTGTGCGAAGGGGCCTCCGGGCCATGAGGAAGTAGGCGATGCCGCCGGCGTGACCTGGAAGGGGCCTGGGAAGCAGGAGCATTTTTCTTTTTGTTTCCCTTTTATTAATTTTTTTAGAGAGAGAGGAAGTGAGAGGGAGGGAGAGCTAGAGACATCGATGAGAAAGAACATCGATTGGCCACATCCTGCATGCCGCCCACTGGGGATCGGGCCCACACCCCGGGCATGTGCCCTGACCGGGAATCGAACCGGCGACCTCTTGGTGCAGGGTCGACGCTCAACCACACTGGCCAGACTAGGAGTATTTTCTAGGGGTGATGTCAGAAATCATTCCCAGGATGTCAGCCTCTGGGGGTTCTCACCTTCCCAGACACAAGTTCTTGTTCATTAGGTAACAAAAGCCCTCCCTGCTTTCCTGTAGTGAACCCTCCTTGCCCACCCTTACCGAGCACAGTGGCTTTTGTTGTTTGTACAGCCTCACCATCCCCAGGATGATCGCATGAGTTGGCTGAGGTCACATGACCCAAGGCTGGCCAAGTCCTCAACCACAGAAATCAGTTTGGAGACAGGCATGTGACCACAGTTCAAACAGAATCCTGCCCAGGATTTTTCTGGAACAGTGAGGACAGAATCATCCTGACCCTCAAAGTTGGGAGTTCCAAGGACTCCTTGCGTCTAGAATGCCTGGGTCATCGGCTGAGAGCAAAGCCAACTCAGGAGAAATACATATAGTCTAGTAAGGTGGTGCCCCATGATGTCTTTTGAGCTCCTGGATCCAGCTGTTCCTGAAGCCAGTATACCCTACACTTTGTATTCAAGTCAACCAGCAAACTCCCTTCTTTTCTGAAATGAGTTGAGGTTCTGTGGCTTGAAACCAAAAGGAATCTTAAGCAATGCAATTCTGTATCGAAAGGTGGCTCTCTAGATGTTTATGGGGAGCAAACTCACGGTAGAATGCGGATAAGATAAAGCCTTCTTGGCTTTTAAAAGAGGGAAGGGAGGCGGCCTCAGGTATGGGTGGATATATGTGCGGATCCGCCTTGTCCCTGGGCTGCTCTATGAAACTGCCCACCTAGACTGGCTTCCACTGGTCAGAACCTCTTCCTGATGCCCTGGTACTGGGCAGCTGTGTTTAAGGCATCACGTTCTTTTTCCTTTCTTTGCGGCCCCTCCCCCATCACAGAGCTGATGGACAGAACACTCGGTAAGTGCTGTGGCCAGGCCCCTCTCCCCACCCCACCCCACACATCACTCCTCCTGGAGGCTCAGCCTAGCAGGACGAGGCAATGGGTGCACCACGGGGGGCCCGAGCACATCCAGCAGGTCCTGCTGACACTGGGGAGCGACAGACAGACAGAAATCCGACTTTGGCTGAGAGATGAACCACCGCCGTCTCACCACCCCTTCACCCCACCAGAGGCAGACACATGACCCCTTGAACCTCGTGCCCAGGAGACCTGCAGGGCCAGGGGCAGGGCTGCTGCGCCAGCCCGCCTTCCCACACTGCACCGGTGCAGGTCCCGCGTTGGCGTAGTTGTGGGGATGGGATGTGAACAGCACACCTGCGCCCTGGGTCCCCTCACGGCCCGGGGCGGCTGCGTGACAAGGGCAGACGTGTGCCCAGACCTCTGGGCGGCAGGTCCAGGCTGCTGTGGAAGGAAAGGTCTGGCTTCGTGGCCGAGAGAAGTGGGGTCAAAGCACAGGCAGTTCCAACGAGAGACCAAGGGGACTGTTAAAACAATAACAGGACCGGGACCGCCTTCCCCTGCGCATTCCCCTGAGCCAGCCTGAGATCAAGTGGGGTCCTGGAACTCTCCGGAACTCTCTGGGACTCTCAGGGCCGTCTCTAAAACCTGGGAGGATGCCATGGCTGGACTCGTAAGGCAAGAGGATCGGTCCTGGTAAACAGACCATCCACCAGGCAGAGCTCAGGGTGGGCTCGGGGCGGGGCTGGGCTGAGGCCTCCAGCAAAGTGCACCCCCCTGCGTCCCGTCCCGAGCCCAGCAGCCTGGCCCCAAGCCCAGCAGCCTGGCGGGAGGGAAGAGGGGCTCCATCTGCTGATACCTTCCCCACACCCAGGGTTCCCTCCCCCACCCCAGCTGAGCTTTCTCGAAAAGACCTTTGCAAGGAACTAGAAAGGGCAATTATCAAAGAATTAATACTGAGACTCAGGGCGGCATGAAAATACTTATTTCCAAACCATGGGCGCCCAGTCCCAAGCATTCCCGTGAAACTGGTGACAATCTGCGCTTGTCGGAGTCCCTCAAGCGGAGGGGCCTGGATACGTGCCCGATTCACCTCCTCACCTGCCCCCCCCCCCCCAGTCCTCACCCCCAGCCTCGTCCGGGAGGGGCCCAGCCACCGTGAGCCGTTTCCTTCTTGTGGGCAAACAGGCCCCTCCAGGCCTCCCGCTGGGTGGGGTGGGGGCCCCTGGCCTGCTGCTGTACCTCTGAGCCTGAAGGAGCCCAGGAGGACAGGCTGGTCATCTGTGCCTGTTTTGTGACTCATCTGGGCAGCCTGCCTCCCCCCGGGCCCCACAAGAACTTAGGCACAGGGCAGTGCCCAGCGTGCGGGATGGAAGGCGCTGTCCTCTCTGGCCCCTCCGCGCACAGTGATTAGAGGCCCGTCAGACACCTGACGCTGACTTTGTCCATCCTGATTCTATGGCTTCTCAGGGACAGTCGTGGGCAGGTGACAGTCCGCAGGCCGGGCTGACTGACCAAGGGTGTCCGGAAACAGCTGAGAAATGGTGCCCGCGTGGCAGGTGGAAATAGAGAGTGACATTCGGATGGAGGTGCCGAACAGGCAGAGGGGGTGGGCAGAGGGGGATGGGGGGCACAGGTGGAGGGCAGTCGGCAGGGAGCGGGGACCTGAGCATGGGGACAGAGGCTTTGTCTGGGTGTCGACCCCTGAGAGGGAACACCCCCCAGGCCAGGATGTACCTCGAATCTGGGAAGGCCAGGGGCTCCCAGGACCGGCCAGGGTCCAGAGGGTGCTGCAGACACCTCAGCCTTTGCCGGCTCTCCAGGCTGGCTCGCCGATCAAGCGTTCCAAGTCCTCTCCTCAGTGTTTATGGAAATGTAATTTTGCCCAGGAGATTCACGTGTAATTAAGAATCTTTTAATGTCTGTTTACAGTCGCCGTTCTGCCTGAGTGATGACAGCCGTAGTGGGGGTTGGCTGCCAGCTGGGCAGTCTCGTCAGCGTGGAGCTCTGGGGGCGTTTCTGTGACTCAAGCGCCACTTGACCGGGGTAGTCCTCTGGTCTCCCGAAAGGGCAGAGCAGACATGTCTGTTGTTCCACGCCACCTCCTCTGTGGCCTTCGGTCCCAACCCACGAC